ATGTAAGAAGCCAGGACAAGCGACTAAATAACTTAAATCCTTAGAAATATCCCACAAAACTACCGATCAGAGCAGCCGGGTTTTAAAATTATTCGGTTAGCGGTTCATTTGGACCGAGCTTTATAGCTAGTGTCGAAAATCCGCCACCTTCAGAACTCGCCCCCTAGGACTTCCCAACGGTGGCAGGATTTTCAATTATCTACGTAGATACGTCGAATTCAGCCGCTGTTTGGAGAAGAATTCTTGCGGCTGGCTTCACTGATCGGTAGTATTTCGAGGTTTCCCCGATCAACACCAATCGAATGCCAGAGCAGTACCCTAAAGAACGGGCCACAGACCGCGCGCCCAATATTTCCTTCCTCTTCCTTGACTTAACCTCACCCCTTACTTACACATTCATTACACTACTAGACCATTCGGGAGCTTAGAGCTTGGCCCGGCTGGGGTAGTGTCCTGCTTGTGGGAGATATCTGGTTGGGGAAAACCCGCAAGTCGACCTTGGCGCCGACGGCTAGGTCGCCATCTAGTGGGGGAAGATCACCTCCACGTCCCGCGATAAGATATGCACTACACGCACCAGACTAATGACCTTCTCAGTCGTCGATCTCGGAATCACTAATCAATCACCGTAGACCCTCCCGATCAGAGACAATGTTGCTCTGAGCCATTTCCCAGAGAGCTGTTGCACTGAGCCATTTCAGCCTGTTAGTTTGTTAATTGTGCATTTGAAAGAAACTCAGAGTGTCCACTGCGCGGGTGTTAACCCGACTCCGCTCGCAGGGCTGCGTGGGCGGAGCGCGTTGCCGGCCGTTCTCACGCGGAACGCTTGCGTCGCGCCGCGCGCTTTAGCTCGCTCGAGTGTTTACAGCGCCGGAGAGCGGCCTCGGGTGCCCGACGCGACAAAAACGACGACGCCGGCGGCGAAGGCGGCGTCGCGGCGCCCCCGACGCTCTCGGAGCCCTTCGCGACACCCCCCGCCCCGCCCCGCTCCGCCCAACCCTTCGGCCCCCGCTGTCGCGCGCTCACACTCAGGGCGTGCGAGAGGGCAGAGGTAGGTCGCGACGGAGGGCAAGTGTTTGCCAACTTGGCGCTGGGGATGGCAAGCGCCTTCTATCGCAGTGAAGACGAAAGCGAGGGGTTTTGACAAATCTATAGAGCGGACTGGATTTAGTTGTTTTTTGAAGTAAATATCTAGTATCTGAAAGTATAATTTATGACTTTGTTTTATGAATAATGGGTATTAATTATTGCTCTAACTCTGAATAATGAAAATTATGGCAGATTACCAAACAATGTTCGGTGTTGTTTACAATAGTTAAATTAAACATGGTACGTTATGGACTTGGGAGTGATATAAATGATGTATGACAATACAGGTAAATACTTTCAATTAATAAAATGCGTATGCACTAGAGCAAAATTATTTTTAATGTGCAAAACGTAGTACATCTTTGAAATGTATTCATTTTGAATAATACAGACTCATTGATTTCAGCATTTACAAATATTTTCTATTCGTAAATTATTTTTACAACAAATATTAACGCGAACTAATTAATTCCGCCTGTCCGTAGGCAGTGTACGAGGTTTGCATTTTATTCTTCATTATATTAAAAAAAATTAGTAGACGTGGCCATGCTACCTGTTAAATAAGTCCGTTGGTATCAAAAAACAAAGAAAATTGAGTCGTGGAAGCCGTCGTTTTTGCCATGGTTTTCGACGATTCTCCGTCCTTCGCGACCCTCTTGCCTTCTTTCGCGTGAACTCTGCCATTCATCCTCCCCCTTGTTCAACTCTGCCGCGCCCACGGAACGCTCTCAAAATCGAGTGGTCTGAAAGGTGTGAGTGAGCAATGTGCCAGAAAAAGAAATGTGAACGTATGATATTAAAAAAAATTACAATGAGAAAAGCATCAATGATAATATGAATTCACCACGACACGTCAACCTTGAGACTATGTGGACTAGCAAACTACTATATTGTGGAAAGTGTGTATTATTGATTAACCTGCATCCATTCATAAATCGACTCCCGACTAAGTCGCTTTAGGAGAACAAAAGACAAGAACGACAGACGGGAACTCACGGGAACGAGGGCATTCTTGTTTTGTAGTTTGAATGTGCGTGGTTGAACTACGCGTTTATTTTCGTGACAACGGCTTCTTTAAATTCCGTGCATTTGTGCGGTGTTTGTTTCAGTAAAGATGTAGCTTTAAAATTGCTTCACAACACAACGAAATTGTGCCACAAATAAAGCGTGTAAAAAACCTTGCAATAAATATTAGTTTGATGTGAACGATTCGTAGATTTTTTAAATCTATTTTTGAAGCACTTGCTGAATTTATGCCTCAACGATAACTCCAATAGGAGCCAGTTTCTTCGTTAAATTCCGTGAGTTTGCTTTCTTTTATTTTTTCTTGAAAAAAACTGCTCACAAAGTATTTTGGAGTAAACTGTGGTGGTAATTGTGTTTTGCGAAATCTTAAGGCTGTTTAATGTTATCCGGGAAGGTTGACCAAAGGATGGAGCCTCGCTCCCAACATATATGCATGCAGCAAATCTTCATCAGTGTTCTTGAAGTATTGTATGTTACAAAAACCCATTTCGTTTGCAAGTTTGCGTTTGAGTGAGTCGATTCCGTGGAACAGAAGAAAGGACCGTATACTGTATATTTACTTTCCATATGATTTTCAAGAATCTTTTAAAAACTCATACTCATACTCATGAAGCACAACAATTGTTTCGTAGAGGTCACGAAGAAAATATTGTTTCAAAGGTTCGAGGATTCCAAAGCTGAAGGGAGAACAAAATAAATAAATAAAAATTGCCGATCGGATTGCAGAGATCGCTAAGGCAGTAGTGCGGTCTCTGACCCGAATATCTCTGATTCGAGTCCCACCTCGAACATGGGTGGATTGGTGTATGTCTGTAATGTGTGTCGTCCTTTCACCCAACTCACTATCATCGTTTCATCTTCTATACACCTGAGGTAACAACCCTGGTGGTTCGAATTCGGGTCCCATGATAAATTAAATGCATCTGTCACCGAGATAATGTTATTAAGCCCCTGTAAATGCAGGGTGCATGCACGTGTGGTCCAAGTCGCGTGCAAAAAAAAAAAATGTCAATTTGCAGAGAGGTTCACACGCCAGAAGGCCTGCTCCCTGCTCGTGGCCGCTTCACAGCAAAAGATGAAGTACGGCCGCCCTGCAGTGTGCGGCCAAACGCCTCTCGGCCCTCCGCCGGCGGCGGCGGAGGCAGCTCAGTGTGCTCGCCGGAGGGCGCTGATTCACGGGTGCACGCAGCGGCGACGCGTATCTGCGGCGGCCATCTCGGCGTAAAGCCTGCATGCCCCTCCCCCCCTCCCGCTCCGCTCCGGCAGCGCCTCGGCCGGCGCCGCAGCGCGGGGCCCTTCCCGCATAAAGTCAGTCGTCGCCCCCCGCCGCCGCCCGCGCAGTGGAGAGCGCCAGCAGCGGGGAGGGATTCCGAGAAGGATGGTGGGACGAGCGAGGGTCGGTAGGGGTGGAGGCGGTGGTGAGAATTCCAATGCGTGGGCACCGGAGAAGAGGTTGTTAGGTCGGCAACGGAAGGGAATGCGACAGACTGCGTAGTGATGTTAGAACTATGAAACTATGAAGCAGCAAGGGCTTTGCGAAAGGGGCAAATAGCTCTCGAGTGGAGAGTGGTGTCTTTGAATTTGGTGGAAGCGTACGTAGCAATGTTAGCAATGATTCAATTTTGACGTTTGAGATGCCAGCAACTGTGTTGGACACTGCGATACAACTGAAGGCTTGCAAGTGTCGACACGTGGACTCGTTCATGCATTTGAGGCAGTAGAAGACGAGAAAGATGCTATTGTACAAGAGAAAACAATAAAATCATATAGAAGTACAGGAGTGTTTTACGAACGGGTCAAAAATATGAACATAACCACAGTTACAATTAACATATAAAGTAAATAGAAGAGATAATGATAGATCTATAGGTAGAGAATATCTCAGCACTTGTGGTCATGATTCGGACTAGGCGCAATGGCCCTGGCAGCAACGACCAAAGAAGCAAGAGATGCTGTGGAAACGGGCGCGGCTACAGAGATGGCCGTGATGGTGGCAACGGCGAAGGCACCGCGAAGCCGGCGAAGGCCCGGGTCGCTCTATCAGCGGAATCTCGGCCGCCCGTGAAAAATTAGCCGGGCCAGCCGCACTTTATAGCGATGATACGGGCCGCCGCCGCCGCCGCCACGAGGCGCTGCGGCCTCCTGGGCTGGGAAGGGCGAAGGTTGGTGGCAGAGCCTCTGCAAAGGCCGGGAGAAGTCGGGGGGAGGGAGAGGGCGGAGGAAGGCCGCTTAGATGCGTCCGCGAGATCTGAGTCCGAGGCGTGGGTGGGCGCCACGTTTACGTTCGCGAGATCATGATCCTAACGACTTTCTTTTATTTGTAGTTATGTCTAGAGATTCATTCTAGAGACAGTCTCCTCTAATCTTTACGAGGTCTGTTAAGTGTAATTTAAAGTAGCATAATATTCCTGTCGGTAACTGATCATTTATTTACAGCAGATTTGAGTCACCAGCAACTGATATTTTATGGAGATTTTCGTCCCATCAGCATGTATTCTCTTCACAAAGTGTTCGTGAAAAATCGAATTGATCCCAGAATTTCTTGTGGCCAAAATAAATATGGAAAAGGTATCAAAACTATTCAGTCATAGGCAAGAGTCAAAAACATGTGTAAAAATTGTGGTAAATTAAATATTCCCATACCCCGTTTTATAGATACTAATGTATTTCAAGTTTTTCATCTGCACAGCATTTTAATACATTAATAATACAACACAAACCCTAATCGAAAAGCAACATATATCTACGAAAAAGAAAAAAAGACACAATCTAACATTTTGAGGAACTATCTCTTTGTATTACACGTATTTCGAATATTGCCGTTAAATATATTTCTATATACTTATCAGATGTGAATCATATCAATTTTAGCGGGAAAGACTTACCATTTCACCGACTCTAACGCCGTCGGATTGGCTTCATATGAACAATATAGAGATATATCAGTTGTCTCGTTCACTGTCACGTTGTCAAAATCCACATTTGAAGAAATGTCGACGATAGGAGGATCTGAAACAGAAAATACGAATTAATTGACGTTTCAACAACAGACTCTTCAAAACAAATATGTTTATTTATTTTTTAATACAAAAAATTTTCACAGAAGGTACTAATGTATTGTTTAAAACACCAATGTGGTCGATTGTAGTTTCAAAATAGCTATTGAGTTGATATTGACTATAGTGAAGCTTATTAGATGGGTACATTCGGGAAGCGCTTAACTGGTAGCTCAAATTAGATTGTATTATAAGATGCTATCGGTATTAAGACCGTAACTTCCGATATGGCATATTAGCGCGTTACCGTATTGTGTATTATTAACACTAATATCAATATAACGTCGTAAGCGATTAGGAGGTATCGTAGCTTACTATCAAACAGGCTACGGAAGCTAAGAGAAATGCTTCTGATTCAAGATATTTGTTGGAAATGAGCCTCATAGGGGCGAGAATCACAGAAACACAGAGACGCTAATACAACAAGAATACGTGGAACTGTAGCAAGACAGATGTCATTGTACGAGAGAAACGAATAAAAAATAGGCAAGAATTTGAGTGTATATTAATGATAAACTAAACTAACAGTAGTGATTGGTGTAAATGGGTCTAAAACAAATCGCGGAAGGGTTGGTAGAGAATTTAGGATGAGTAGACAGGGAAGAAACTTCAGACTAAAACGGAATGGGAACGAGAGTAGAACAAAGAATGGGAGCAAGTAGGGATGTTCCAATTCTACCCATTCGATTCCAGAATCGGTTCTTTTCTTTTGGTTTCTATGGAATCGGTGTCCTTTGCTTCCGATTCTTGGTGAAATCGATCTCAAAATGCCGGAATCGAATCAAATGAGTACCTTCGATTTATTTTACTGCTTCTGACTAGCAGAGAATATTTATTCTACTACTGCTGCTGACTAATTATATTACATTTCAAAGTATATTTAGACACGTAATTTACTCAAATTGGTGGTCGGCAGACAAAAGATAACATAGTATTTAAAAGATTTTAAAAATTAAATTTTGATGAAGACATTTACTTTGAATATACTTGGGATTCCTTTAGAGTGATCAAATTAGAGTGATGAAATTTGCACTTAGTGGAAGTGCTTATTGCCCAAGCAGTTATTCACAAAGGTTTCACAATCTGTTATTAAGACACAAACACTTAGGTTTTGATCATTCTTACGGAGAAAAAAAAACAGGCAGACAGGAGATATATGCTCAATTCAGGTATCGATACTTCCGTTGAATGATGTCCTCATTTGATTCGATACCATACGGAGTAGGGAGTTTGTGCACTCTCAAGCACTATCGATCTTTTGTGCATGCGCAGTTTAAATTTCACTCAACCTTAGTGCTTGTGCATACAAAATCGATAGTGCTGTCCCCTATGGCGTGCACAAACTCCTTGGTCTTTTCAATTGATGGATCGAATCCGGAATAGATTATTTTCCAGAAATCGAACGTCTTTAGGAGCAGGTACGATAGGAAACCAAGGATGAACATTACGACGGAGCCTGCCAGGGCGAGAGGCTGGAGAAACAAGCGGGCGGCGTGCGCTGGCGCGGCCGACGGGGGCCCCGGTCCCGGCCCGCGCCCCGAGAGCCCGTGGGGGAAGGGGCGCCGAAGCCCCGCGATCCCCCAGCGGCTAATCAGGACTCTGCGAATCCTGAAGTAATCCCGTTGATCGGGGAGACGCGGCGGGGTGCGCGGGGAATGGCGGCGATGGCGGGGCGCGGGCGGTGAGGGGCTTGGATTGGAGGTGCACTGGGACCGCAGTAACGAGGTGGGCTGATCTTGGGGATGCGTGCGCCTGTCCGGGCCTGCTTGTGCCGACGTCCCATCGATTGACACTGCAACCTCACTTTTATTGTTGCTTTGATGTTTATTATTATTATTATTATTATTATTATTATTATTATTATTATTATTATTATTATTATTATAAGTAATAGTATATAATGTATTAAATATTTAATAATAACAACAAAACTATTTCAAATTCTTACATCTACAAGACCCATTTTTAATACTAGTTTACAATCTTGAAATCCCCTATATCATGCCCGACAGACTTAATGGCAATTGCACTCAACTTTTAATAATTGAAAAAAAATGTCATGGTTTTCTTTATTTACAGGATAATCAAACATTCGATGAAATATATTATTTTGCTATCATGAAAGCAAAGTAAAAATATGAATAATAGACATTTTAATGACATTCAAAAACCCCTACCATAACAGTCAATCAAGTTGTATTGCAAAACAGCTCTGGTCTGCATGGACACTAAAACCCTAAAGCATCACATACATAAGATGATTGTTTTGAAGAAAACATTATATTAATTTTATGATTAAATAAAACGATGCATTCGGTTATTACGCTAATGCCACTGCATTATTTACCGTTAACTTATTAGTCTTTCGCGTTCACATGGCTGAAGTTAGTGTCAATTTGCAAATTTTGTTTCTGTGATTTCTTTCAAGAAACATATACGATAAAAAACAGAACATAAAGTATGTAATTAACACAACCAAGTCATTATCGCTTTTAAGAAGGTAGAAATCTTCCAGAATCTTATTACTTATGACTTTGAGTTAAAAAAGATTTCTATCGTAATCACACACTCTTTGTGGTTTTCTGAGTAGCTGCATAAAGTTTCCCGTTTTTTAAACAAAATGTTTGAAGCCGTGAAAGAGAAAAGCCCACAACGGTCGATATTCTTCTTGAATGTAAGAAATTGCTAAGTTTCCGATTGCCGACTTACTTTTCACCTTAATGTATTTTAAATTACTTTCTTTGAAACACTACCGGGGCCTATTCAGGAAATCGTGAATGAAATTTGTTTCCTTCTTCTGCCAGATGAATTGAAATATCATTCCACATTTATCCCCCGGTAATATTAAAACTTCTTTGAACTATTCTAAATTGGTTTTCAGTTTAAATACGAGAGTGTTAAGAATATATGACGCAATCACGTAAATTTCGTGCGTTTCGGATGGGGGACGTGGCTGTACGGGCGCGGGGCTATTTTTGGAAATAATTAGAGCGCGCTGCTTTGAAGGTAAATTTGCTGGAAGGAGCGGGGCGGCGGGAAGAAGCGAGGGGGCGGGTGCGGAGCACAAGTGCCATTGGGGGAGGATCCTCTCGCGAGGGGCGAAGAGGGAGGAGGGGGCGTGTACAAGACGGGTGGCACAGGAAGGGCGAACGGGGTGAGGCAGAGGGTGGTGGTGGGGGGTCGCGGACGGGGTCCGGGGTGGGGCGGGAGGAACGAGGAAGGAAAAACTTGGCCGGCGGCTTTCCGCTCGACGCGGACGCCTTCCTTATAATGCATTGGAGAGGACGAGAAAATTTCTTTTTCCTCTCCTTCATTTTCTCGAAAGAGGGAACGCCGCGGTGGCAGGGGAAGCTCGCGTCGAGGGTCTGCGAAAAGAGGGGGGTGGAGGAGAGACGGGAAGGGGTGGTGTGAGAACGGGGTAGGAGAGAGGGAGAGATGGGGTCCGCCGCCGGAATTGTCGCCCGCACGCTCAGAAGGAAGGAAGCCGGTTCTGAAATAAGGTCTACTTATTGCCAAGTCCGGAAATCTCATTAAACTGCGGCGAACAGCGATAATGTTGCAGGACGTAAAGAAACTTTATCAAGCCACCGGCGCGGTGTTTAACAACTTCTTTAACGACATCGATCTCGCAGTAATTACCGCTGCTCGTGAGGTGGGCGCGGGCGGTGGCACCTCCCCCTCGACCCCGCACTCCTCTTCCCACCACCCCACCAGTCCCCGCCGTTGTCTAGATCGAGTCTCGAGAACAATGCGAGGAAGGGATTTTGATGTGCACTTTTGTTTCAAATTACTCGCACGTGGTAACTGCAACACTAACTAAAGAGTTGCACTTCGCCCTAGAGTTATTCATTTGCTTCCATTATCTTCACGTCATATCTTTTACTGCATCACCTGTTCTGTGAACCTCTTCATTTGAAATGAAAATTCTCATTGGTAATACTTCATTAAGGAAAATTAATTTGCAGTTTCATAAGTCGAGGTAATTTCTGAACTTCTCTGCTTTTAAATTATGTTTAAGATAAGTAATGTAAATTCAGAATAGTTTAATAATTAATTACAGCTTAACGAGTAAATTGTGAAAGGATGATTGTTAAAATCTGTGATGTAATATGAAGAAATATAATTTGTGCACAAACAAATAGGAAAATTTCAAGAGCATTTATGAAGATATCCAAACACATTCCATATTATCAAATGCATAAACCTCCCAATATTTTGACGATTTGGACTTTCTTTGGAAGATTCTGAAATTGGGAATTATCTAAAACACTACAGCTATTAAATATGATGTTTCACAGTGGCAGGAGAGTAAGTGTGAAGAGTTATATTGATTAATTTTATAAAAGTAATCAAGGCATTTGACGAGGAGAATTGAGAGTATAAACCATTTGCACTTTTTTCATTTACATTGTGGCATCAATTGCATTATAGAGTTAGAAAGAAGGCCTATTGCGTATTTCATAATTTTTAATAATAAACACACACAATTGTTAGGATATACGACAACACTACTGAACACAATGTATAGGTAGAACATTACATCTGAAACGTCAATTTTTGGCATGAAAGTTGAGACAAACTATAGAAACTGATGTCTATAGGTATTAGCGCATTGGCAACCGGCAAAAGTACACTCCTAATTGCATATGTTTAATCTAATTTAAACCCAATTTAAAATACCTAGTAATTTCAGCATAATTCCTATAATATTAATTCTGAAAAGAAAAAAATAGCTTAGTAAATTTTCTGATAATATGCAAACAATTCGTAACTTCCGTGTGTTAGCCAATGCCATGTTGCAGTTTCATGGAAAAGTTATTTTATTTTCATGGGCCAGCGATCGGGACTGTGGGGATAGTTTCCCTCGACGGGGGAGGGAGGGGAGGAAGGGGACGCGAAACCAAAGCGGAACGCGGCGAGAGCGCGACGCAAGTATTACCGTATCTGCAGGTAGCGTGTGATGTCGTCATCAATCTTTCCTCGACGCTAATATACTAAAAGTTGCTCCGGCCACGTAGAGATCGTTTAATTTACGACAACCCAAACGGGAAAGGTCTCAACGCGGAAGGCAGCGACTTGGCAACGCAGCCGGAGCTTTCCTGCGGGGAGGCGTTTCCAGAAATAAATGCGGAATTCCATGGTAATGCACTTTCGTGCAGCACCTCTGCCGGAAAAGGGTGGCGCACACGATATACTACTTAGCGGTCGCTTTCGTGGAGCCTGGAATTAGGCTGGAAATGTTCGTGATAAATTTCCAGATGTGTATCTACAGAGGCCAATCCCAGATAACACAATGTGAGTGATAAAGAGCACAGAGCGTGCAGGTCTGCTTTGCGATTTGGAGAGAATCAAATTTGTCTTCATATTCGGCTACGCGTTTGCTGCTGTATGCGTACTCCAGCGCGGCATTCTCATTGCTTTATAATTACAGCTTCATCTGAGTGTAAACTGGTATGCAATTCTAATAAATTCCCATCCACAATAGTAAATTGAAAAAACAATATTTTTGAAGAAAATCGTGTTGAAAATAAACAAAAAATATGATTCTATTTTATTCAAACCTATTAATTGCTCATTAATTAAATTAACCACGGAATTATCATTTTTTTACATATTTTGATTTAACGTGTATTCTGTAAAAAAGTGGAGAAAAATTAGAAATCCACTACATCATGAATTACTCGTCGGAGGAGAAAGTATCTCAAACAACAGAGACATGAAAACACAATAACAACTACGAGTATATTTAAAACCCACACTATTGATGTATGAATATAACACTGTTCGGAGCTGCACGACGACAGTAAAAAAACGACAACAAAAAAATAGTACGAAATTATGGTATTCAATACCAAACCTCTGCGTTACAATTCCAGGTTATCGAAACTCAATCAAAAACGAGGTTGAGTCTGCGGAATAGCTCAGCCCCGCACGTCGACCGTTGCGATTTTTGCTCTCGTTTCCCCGTCCGCGCCATTCTGACGCTGTCACACATAAACACGCACATAGTGCGGGTGCGAGCACTTAGCGGCCGTCAAAACCACCGGCAGGCAGCGGCCCATCGCAGTGCGCGCACGTGGTCGCGGCCCCCGATGCAGGGCACGTCCGCAAAATCAATGCGCGGGGGCGTCAGCGGCGCGGGCGACAGCTCGCGGAGGCGATGTGAGTGGCGGGGACAAAGTGGGTGGCGCGGTGACACAGGTGGCGGGATCTCCGGCGAATGGTCACCGGTGGTAAGAGGAGTGCGTAGGGACGGAGGTACGCGGTGATGGTAGTAGAAGGGGAGAGAATTGGTACCGAGTGAGTAGAAATACTGGAAGGATGTGGTGATAAGGGACTGAAAGTGGTAACCACGGCCATAAGAAATTACGCGGTGTAGAACGATGTTGTAGTTTGATTGATTATTTGTTTTCGGGCGCGTGAACGGCCATGGTCACTGCTTCCGAAAGTTTAGCGCATATTTTATCACAGGTGATAGTGTTGTTATTTCCCTAGTGAGCTAGTGAGATCCGACCACTTACGCCTCGGCCTGCAGGGTTTTCCCAATCCAGGTATCTCCCAGGGCACCTCCCCAGCCGGGACAAGCTCCCGACTGGTCTTCCGCCATGTGTGGTAGAGTAGCGCATGTAAGTGGAAGGGTAAGCTACGAGTGAGAACGAAACAAACAAGAGGAAGTAAAGATAGCAGGGGGCCCATTTTTTAGGGTACTGCTCCGACATTCGCATGATGTTGATCGGAGAAACCATGGATGGCCAGTCGCAGGAATTCTCCTCCAGGCAGAAA